CAGGCGCCACTAGCCCTGGGCTAGGGGCTGTGCCCTTCTGGGTCTGCACAGTGGGACCGATAATAACGCCCCATTTCCAGCTGTGTTAGTCTCCTTCGTGCTGCTGTGACAAATCCCCACAACAGAGATTGCTATCTTACAGTTGTAGAGGTCAGACGTCTAAAATGGGTTTCACCAGGGTAAAAGCAAGGTGTTAGCAGGGCTCTGCTCTTCTGGGGGCGCTGGGGAGAAGCCATTCCCTTCGCGTTTTCCAGCCTCTGGAAGCAGCCTGTATCCCTTGGCTTGCGGCCCTTCCTCTGTCTGCAAAGCCATCAGTGTGGCATCTCTGGATCTCTCTCTGACGTGGGCCCTCCTGCCTGTCTCATAAGGACCCTCGTGATTTCACTGGGCCCACCTGGAGAATCCAGGAGAATCTCGCCATCTCAGATCCTTAACTTTAATCTGCCAAATCCCTTTTCCCTAGAAGGTAACATGTTCCCAGGTGCTGGGGATTAGGACATGGCATTCTCCTGCCCACCGCAGCTGTGAGAACCACAGTGGTGTGTGGGGAAAGGACCACATAAACTATAAAGTCCCGCACGTGTAAACTATTAGTAGTGGGTCTTCTTTGTGCCAGGCCCTAGGAATGAGGGATGGATAAGGCCTCGTCCTGTGGCTGCAGAGATCCAGGGCTGAGATTCCGGACCGGAGCACTCAATGCAACAAATGGGCATGTGGGTACCTTCCTCAGGAGAAACTGTGTGGCTTTTAGACTGGGTACTTTTGGGCTGGTCCTTTTTATACTGCGATCCAAAGGCCATAGCTCAGATGTGGAAACCCCTCGTAGCCAGGGGTGGAGAGGAAAGAAAAACAAAAACAAAAAATATACAGCGTTTCCAATTTCAGGACAAGCAAGGAGCCAGAGAAAGAGGTCTCTAACATTGACGGGCCTGGTCCCATAACCCTCTTATGAGGGACTCCGCTGGGGGGGGGGGGGGGGGCTGATCTCTGCCAGACCTCGGGTCCCCGACCCCTCAAAACAGGACACAGGAGACCGGAAATGTTCCGATTTGCAGAAACAGTGAGATTAAAGGCAAGCCTGGGATTACAAACAACTCCACACTGGGGCTCGGCAATCTGGAAAGCCCTGAGTAACAACCCAGTGACTGACTTCGCCAGGGAGAACTTCCCCCGGGGCTGTCTGTCCAGCTGTCCCCACCAAGACCCGCATGCTCCTCAGAAGCCACAGGCCCTCTAGCACCCTGTTTCCATTCTGTTCGAATGCTGCTCTCCTGAGCCAGGCCTGGCCCTCCCAGTACCTGATGTGTCCAGGGAGGACGGGGTTTCTCGGCACTTCCGCGAATCCAGCTGCCCACTGCTTTCCCAGAGTCCAGGCCCAGGTAAGAGACTCTGACCAGTCCATCTTGTCTGGGCACCCGGGATGGGGCAGGCCAGGTACCTCCCGGGAGCCAGTAGGAATCTCTGCAGCCCAGACAGGAGCCAGAAGCCTGACCCAGCAGGAAAGACTAAGGCTGCAGGGGGCCCCCTGGGGGCGGCAGCAAAACTGGGCAGGAAAAGCAAACAACTCCAGAGGGGGCCAGTGCCCTCAGAGGGAAGAGGTGTGGGCCTGAGTCCAGGGAAAACACAGGAAGCCAGCGACCCACACGCCCTTGTTCCAGCAACCACTGGTGCTCTGGGATGCTTCTTCAGCCAGACGCCCCCAGCGAGAGTGCAGGGTGCCTGAGCGCATGCACTTCCAAGTCCACCAGGCACGGCCAACCCCACAGGTTCCAGCCGACGGCTGTGGGGGCCCACGGGCCACGCTCCAGCCCCGCAAATTCTCGGCTGACCCACTTCAACTCCAGCCTCGGGTCCTCTTCGAAAAAGTGGGCAAGACCAATCACCCCGTCTCCTGGGGCTGCGGTGCTGAGAGAGGAGATCATGTGCATGGCGCCCTTAGCATTGGTGGGACAGGCCACCCGGCCACTCGGAGCCTGCCTCCCACCGGCCTCTGTCCTGGCCCCTGTCGGAGCCAGAGTCAGAGCCCAGGTTCCGAGATCCCATTTCCACACTGTTCCTCCTTCTCCTCCTCTTCGTGGAGACACTGAAAGTTGCCTCCTGTGCCCGTCATTCATGCAACACGATGCCTTCAGTACTCCCCCCGGGGGCAGTGTGCTAAGCTGTGAGAACCCAGCAGCAAAGGTAAGACCCCACTCCCCCACCCTAAACACCCGCGTCCCAGGCCTGTGCCAGGGGGTTGGGGGGGACACACCTTCACATCCTTCCCCCAGAGGGGAGGGGGCTGCTTTTACTCTGCTCCCGTTTTATGGGAAGGGGCCTCGCCCAGAATCACATGCTGTGGCCACTCTGCTTGGCTCCCCAGGTGGGGTCTCCGGAACCGACTGTTTACAAACTACTCTCCTAAGAAACTAGGAGGCAAAGGTAAATCTCTTAGCAGGTAAAATGCTCACACCAGTAAACACACACACAGTCAGATCGTCCGTCCATACGCAACTGGCCACACCACCCCACTCCCCCACCATGAGACAAAGTCTGAGGTTCTGGGTCCTGACCTGGAGTCCCCAGCACATCCCTGGAGGGCAGTGCTGTGGTCAAACACCCAGCCCCCGGGTGCAGAAGCCTGCAAGAAAGGAGACTGACTATCCCCATGTCACTGATCAGAAGTGAGGCTCGGGACAGAAAGCCACTTGCTCAAAGATGCACAGCGAACACAGAGAAAGACTTGAAGCCAGCTCCATGTGGCTCAGAGCCCAAATTCCCAGGTGCCCCAGGACCCAGACTCCAGCCCTCACTTCCACACCACGCTCCTGCCTGGCAGCAGCTCACCAGCAAGGACATGGGATGAGGACTGGCCCTGCTTCCCTACCTAGCTGGGGGTGAGTGCCCTGAGGGGGGTGAGGTCACCCGGGGGCTGCAGCTCTGCCAGGATCTGGGTAGTTATTCTAACCTTCTCGGCAAGAGTCCCCAGAGGCCAGGTAGGCAGCCAGGCAAAGCCCAGGGCCATTTCCAAACCAAATTTCCTCCAGGCAGGGGCCATGGAGGAAATGCAGGGAGATTTGGTAAAATGTCCTCCACTGGGTGACTTGCTTTTTCAAAGCAGTGTTTGCTTAGTAACTACCTTTAGGAAAGTCTAAAAAAAAGAAAAAAAAAAAAAGGAAAGCAATTTTTTTCCCCTTTCTCTTGGATAACAAGGAGAAGACTGGTGATCTGAATGGATTCTTCTCCCCGAGGATTCCAGAGTGGAAAATCACCACCCAGAGAAGGCGCTGGAACTGAAGTAAACAGAGATCTGGAAGGGAGGGTGCAGCTGGGAGCACACAGAGAGCACTGGATGAGGAGTCCAAGGCTGCCAGCATCTCACAGTGTGGCCTTGGACAAGTCCTGCTCCCAATCTCGGCATCTGTGAAACTAAGAGCAGGCCAGGAGGCCCCTGAGGACTCCTGTCAGGATCCAGTGTTGGCCCAGTTAGGGAACTCAAAAGTGACATTTATTCAAGCCAGATGTTGGCGAGACCCACCCGGCAACCCAGACCCAGCCCGAGAGGCAGAGGCTCCAAGCACACAGTCTCCGTCCCTCCCGCCCCATCACTGGAAACACCCAGCCGGGACAGGAGGCGGAGTAGAAGCGAACACAGGGTGCATATCTGGCACGTCCTTCAACCAGCATCTCCTAATCCACAGGATGCTCTAGATGGCTATTACTTCCATCGTACAAACAGGGAAACCGGGGCTCAGAGAGGTTCCCAGGCAGCCCAAAGCCACCCAGCTAAGTGGGGATTTGAACCTCCAGAGCTCACTCCCTGATGCTGCCAAGAGATGGTGTTTGAGGGGGCTGGGGCTGCCCCAGGGTGAGCCTGAGGACAGGTAAGTGGACAGTGGGTTCAAGGCAGAGGCTGGGCCCCTCTCCCGGAAACACTCTCTGAGCTACTTGACCAGCAGGCTGATGATAACAACACGGTATATGACCCTAGCTCTCGGGGCCACCGGTCACCACCTCAGCACTGCACCAGCCCCAGCCAGACACCCAGTCTGGCCTCCAGGACTCACAGGGAGAAGGCGAGCAGAGACGGGCCGGGCTGCCAAGATCCTGACCCTGAGTGGGCAATGGGGTTCTCCAGGAGGGTGGCCTTGAGGCTTGTGGTATGCTTGCTCACGGCCCACTCCCCTTCCCAGCCCCCTGCCTCTGCCAGTAGCTTCCTCCGGTAACCGCTCCTCCCCAAGCCTCCCCTCTCCCTGAGCTCTCCACCTGGGCCCCCTCCCATCAGCGTCCCAGTCCCCTGAGCATTCTTCTCTGAGCCATTCTCCTGTGTCTGCATCCCCCACTAGACTGAGTTTCTGGCTAGCTTCCTTCCTGGCCCACCCTGGAGGGCTCTAACCCCTGGGAGATGAGAACTCCCCTGCACAGGTGCAGGGCCACTGATTCATTTCAGGTCCCCAGCCAGGGAGGAGAGGCCGATCCCTACGTCTGGCCCAGCAGAAACCCTCCCAGGGCCCACCCACTCCAGATGGCAAATACAGGGACTCCTGCCCTTGAATCCAGATCTGTCTTGGCTCCAGGGGCCCACGGAGGGAAGCTGCATCTCTGAGCTCTCCAGCTGGGTGACACCCGCCTGAGAATCAGGCCCCCTGGCTCTGCACACCAAGAGACAAAGGAAGACCCCTCCCCCTGCCAGAGTGGCCAGGATTTAAAGCCAGGACCCCGGGGCCTAGATCCACCACTAAGGATTCCCCTCGGGGAGGACTCGCTAAGCACCCAGGTCCCCAAAGCCAGGCAGCAAGCAGCAGTGAGCAAACCCCAAGAGGCCTCTGCTTTTATAGCCCCCAAGCCCCAGATGTGCAGCTCACCCCCGAACTGGCTTGGGAGGCCACAGAGGGGAACGGCTAAAGGATCCCCAGCCAAAGGCTGAGTGGTCCTGGGCACAGCACCACCCTCCCTCATACCTCCTGCCCAGTGTCTCCTCTTTCTCCAACCACCAAAGCAAAGGAACAAGGCTCACTTACTGTGTCTGGGGTGGGGAGGCTGCTGAGTCTGGGTCTGTGGGAAGAGAGCAGAGGAGAGCCTGTCAGGCCTGAGGCTGGTCCCTATGGACTCAGTCCATCCCCGCCCCCTTTCCCAGCCTCCCTGGGGTGCCAGAGACGGGGCCTGGGCCAACCTGGGTGCCTGCTGGGTTCCTGCCTCCCTTCCCCCCGCCACTGCACTGTCATCAAGCTCCCTTACCTGTCTTACTTGTACCACCTCGACTCCCACCACTGTGGCCCACGTCCCAAATCCGACCAGAACCAGCCACCCTGCCTGCTCTGGGCCTGCTCCCCACCCCCAGCTCCTCAAGGAGCCCCTTGTCCCCAGGCCTGCAGGAAGTTCCTGCTAGGCCGGTCCCCAGTCTCTCCCAGATGACACAATAACAAAAGCCCAGAAGCTGCCATTTAACACGGCCTTATCAGGGTACTCCCAACCCTAGGGGCCACCGGGACCTCTGGGAGGTGGCTTCTCTGGCTGGTGTGACTCCCTGGGAGAAGCTGCTGGGGAAGAGGGGCTTCGGAGACACAAGCCCTGGGCAGCAACTGTGTCCAAAGCCCAACTCGGGGCCAACCATTTCCATGACCAATAAGTGCGCCAGATGCTGCAGGAATGCTTGGAATCTCCAGTTCCCAAGGGAAGCCATGGAATGCAACTTCTCAATGGTTTTTCCCTTCCTGTGCTGGGGATAGTGGAGGAGCTGGGAGGCATCCCTGGGAGCCTAGAGCTTCCACCAGGCTTCTAGACTCTCTGTAGCCCCAGAGGCCCGGAAATGGGAGGACCCAAGGCTCCCAAAAACACCTTACCAGTGATGGGGACGGAGTCCAAGTGGATCAGTGGGGCGTCATCGATGTCCTTCTCTGAAGCCACGCCTGGGACACCCAGGCCAGTGCTGGTGTCCTCGTCATCATCACTGTCGTCAAACTCAAAAGCCTCTCCAGGGTCGTCCTCCACCTCGGGGGAGGGGCCGGGGCCTCCCAGAACCAGCTGATCTCCTGGAAGGGAGGAGGAGTTAACAGCAGCTGGGTCTGGGGTTTGGTCAAGGAAGATGGCTACAGCGGGGGAGCTTCTGCGGGCCTGAGTGAGGGCACGAGGGCAGTTCCCAGGGCCTCGAGTAGACCCCTGCCCGGACCAGCTGGCCTCCCTGCGCTCAAGAGGTGACCCGTGGTTGGTGAGGGCTGTAAGCAGGTGAGCAGTGGACAGAGAGGAGGGAGCAAAGCCTAAACAGTGAATGGGTGCACAGCTGCACCTGAACGTACATCTATCGTGTTGTTTCCTATTTCGCCATTTTGTAAGCAAGGGGGCTTTTAATTGCATCTGGGCACGTGCGTGTGGGCACACACCTCCATGTGTCGTTCCCCGTGCATGTGTCTGTGTGCTTTTCCCACACACGCTTGTGCCCCCAGATCCCCTTCACGGACATGCCCTCCTGCCATCCATCAAAGCTCAACTGAAGCAGAGCCCTGCCCCACCACGGCCCCCCTCTGTCTTAGCTCCTTGTTTTCTACATCCATCCCTGTATAACCTGCAAAGATGTGTTTTGTGCTCGTCTGTATTCCCCGGCCGATCTCAGATCCCTAAGAGTCCTTTCTACTGTCCCCTTTAAGGGGACGGGTCATGGCCCCGCCCACTGTAGAAACTCAGCAACTTCTGTTAAATAAGAAAAGGAATGGATTCTCTGCCCTAAAGAGTTTCACGGGCCCTCACCTCTCCACCCACTTCACCAAGCTGAGGTCCCCCGTCTTCTTCCCTGGAGGACCTCCTTCCACAAGCCTGGGGCTGGACAGAACCTCAGGGGTTCACTATGCCATCCTCCTACTTCGTGCCAACTCTTTCCAAAACCAAAGGACAATGTGGCCTGGTTTTAAAAGTCTGCAAAGCTGGGGCACCTGGGTGGCTCAGTCAGTTAAGTGTCTGCCTTTGGCTCAGGTCATGATCCCGGAGTCCTGGGATTGAGCCCTGCTCAACAGAGAGTCTGCTTGTCCCCTGCCCCTCCTCTCCTCTCCCCCTGCCCCTCCTCCCCGCTCCTCCTGGCTCCTCCCCACTCCTCCCCACTCATGTTCACTCATGTTCATGCACTCTCTCTCTTTCTCTCAAATAAATAAATAAAATATTTTAAAAAAAAAAAGTTTGCAAAGCTGAGCACCCCTCCAGTCCTGCTGTAGCTCACGCCACAGGATGCAGAGCATGCGCTTTGGTCCCATCTGGGCCCCCTACCCGCTGTGTGGTTCTGAGCAAGTCTCTCCACCTCTTGGAAGCTTGGTGTCTCCCTCCATAAACTGGAGATAAAAACAGCACCCACCCCATAAGGCCGAGGTGAACGTGAACTGCGAAGTAGGTCAGGGTTTCTCGGCCCTACCACTGTTGACTCTGGGGCCCCAGGGTCTTCCGTGGTGGGGGCCCTGCAGGATGTACGGCAGCATCCCTGGCCTCTACCCATTAGAAGCGGGTACTACCCTCCAGTTGTGACAACCACAAATGTCTCCAGACATTGCTCAATGTCCCCTGGGGGACAAAATCACCCCTACCTGGGAGCCGCCAGGGTGGGTGTAGCCCTTGGCCGAGTGCCTGGTGTGGGTACACATTACACAAGAACACCTGTTGTAAGTGCGGCCCCTCCCAGCCGGAATCCTTGATGACAGGACTGCCTAGCCCATGTCTGTGGACTCAGCCCCAGCAGGTGCTCAGAGGTGGAAGGATGAGTTGGCAGGCAGGAAGGCGGATGGAGTAGACAGACGGCTGGATGGATGGATGGGCATATCCAATTCTAGCAGTCTCTTGGACTAGAAAAATCCAATCCCTCCCCCACAGGGACCTGGGATTTTGCAGAGAACATTCCAGGTGCAAATGTATCAAATTCACAAAGCCCCTTCCCCAGCTGCTGGAGTGCAGCTGAAGCCCAGAGCTCAGCCTTCCCCCCTCCCCAGACAGAGGCCTCTGAGGTGGGGGCCCCCCGGTGGCAGAAGCTCCTTCCCCAGGTCAAAGACACAAACCCGGGCTGAGAGCCTGAAATGAGCCCCACCCAGCTCCTGGCGTAAGCCTCATGACCACCCCCACTGGACATGATGAGGCCACAGAGATTCAAGCGGCAAAATGATGTACCCGCAGTCCTACAGCTAGTAAGTGGGGAGGTGGCTCTGAACCCGTTCTGTCTTCCCATCCTACACTCTCCACTGAGCCCTGTTGCCTTCCGGAAATTAGCTGAGCCCTTGGACACTCGGCCCTGAGATGATGGATTAATAAAAGAAATCCAGGGGTTGAGTTGGAAGCTGGATTAATGGTTTTCAAATGACAGTCCTCAACCCACTGGTGGGTCAAAAAATCAATTAGGGGATTCCCAGGTGGCATTTTGTTTCATTTATGAATTACTTGAGATATTTTTAAATATTTTATTGTAATATTGATAAAGTCATATTTGGTATTACTTTTGATACGGTTTTGACAGTTCTGTTTCAGTTTGCGTATACATATCCACACACACGTACAGGGGTGTAGAATCTTCTACCGATGTCCCCTCACTCACTCCACTGCAGGCACACTGGTCTCCCTGCTGCACCACGAATGTGCCAGATGTGCTCTAGCCTCAGGACCTTTGCACTTTCCATCCTGGGGTCCAGAATGTTCTTCCCCAGGTATCTTCTCCTGCTCTCACTTCCTTCAGGTCTTTACTCCAGGTTATCTCCAGATGAGGCTGCCATGACCAAAACTGCCCATAGAGACACACTGGGACTCCCCGATGGCCTTGCCTGCTTTACTTTTCTCTATGGCCCCCATCAGCAGTGATGTTCCAAGCTTTCATTCATTTTACTGTGTCCTAACTAGAACCTAAGCTCGTGAGGGATTCTAGTCTGTTTTGCTCACTATTATATCCCCAGCATCTGCTATAGTGCCCAGCACACAGTAGGCACACAATAAGTCTGCTGAACACACACACACACACACACATACACACACATTCCTGTTCTCATGTCTATGGGTTGTGGTTTTACTTTTTTTTTTTTTAAAGATTTCATTCATCCATTTGACAGAGAGAGAGAGAGCACAGGCAGGGGGAGAGGCAGGCAAAGGCAGAGGGAGAAGCAGGCTCCCCACTGAGCAGGAAGCCTGATGCGGGACTTGATCCCAGGACCTTGAGATCATGACCTGAGCCAAAGGCAGATGCTTAACCAACTGAGCCACCCAGGCACCCCTATGGATTATAGTTTTAAAAGTTCAAAATACTGGGGTGCCTGGGTGGCTCAGTTGGTTAAGCATCCAACTCTTGGTTTCAGCTCAGGTCATGATCTCAGGGTCCTGGGACTGAACCCTGGATCAGGCTCAGTGCTCAGCAGGGAGTCTACTTCTCTCCCTCTCCTGCTGCCCCTCGCCCCACACTCACTGTCATGTGCCTGAGCTCTCGCTCTCTCTCAAATAAATAAATCTTTAAAAAAAAATAAAGTAAAATAAAAGTTTAAAAATGCTGGAATGAATGACTACAAAGTCCCCGCCCAGTATTTTGGGCTACCAGATATAGACCCACCCTGACCCTCAGTGCCCGTGGCCCCTCCCACTTGAATCCACCGGAGTCCCAGTGGGGACACTGTGCGCCCGGCCAGTATCACATGGTGACTAGCATGTCACACTCAGACCACCAGACTCCAACCCCAGCTCTCCTAGAGGCTGACCAGATGAACACGGGGTCACTGTATCCCCCAGGCTGCAGCTTCCTGACCTATAACAAGGACAAGAACAGCGACCAGCTCTCAGGTTAGTGGGAGGCCCGGACACCGGACAGGAGGGCCGAATGAACCGACATATGTAGAGGGCCTGGTGTGAGGCCTGTGCTCACTGCTGGTAATAGTCCAGCTCATTGTCAGGGCCACAGCATCATTACCATTATCTTTGTTATGCTTATGATTATTATGATTACTGCCTTGAGTCAGAGCACAGCCCTGGGCCCTGGGGGAGCTGCATGGGCCTTCCCAGTCACAGGCCTGGCCCTCAGAGCAACTGGCCACAGGCTGTGTGCAGGGACGTCAAGGGATACGGTCACCGTCTCGCCTGCATCCAGGGGACTGTTCCCAGCAGCCCCGGGGCCAGGAGGTTCAGAGAGGAGTAAGACACGGCCCCTCGGTGTCAAGGAGCTCACTGCAGGTGAGGCAGGCAAGAGAGACGAGCCTCGAACCCCAGGGCCTGAGCCATGCCCAGTGACAGCCGGGGGCTCACGCTGGCGGGGGCCACCCCTGCACAGAGCCTCGCAGGATGAGTAAAGGTCTGACAGGCTCACGGCGGGGCTGGGGTCCCAGGCTGTGGCCACAGCAGGAGTGGAGAACATGCAGCATGTGACCCAGGGGAGCCGAAGACACGAGCAAGGAGGCTGGCAGCTATAGGACCGTGAAGAGGTATTTGGGGGTATTTGAATCTTATTTGGTAAGACAACAGGAAGCTCTCAAACAATCAGCAAATGGCAGAAAGCCTGTTTCAACCATATGACACTAGCCAGCAACATCAGATATAACTGGAACAGTAAGTCACATGTTTGTTGAACAGAACCGAGTTGATGTAATCATAAAATCATTTTGTTCTTACTTTTTGGTGAATGGGAGAAGGGGTAACAAAATGCCCACGGCAGCAGGAGACAGAGCAGGGAGCATCCTGGGACCCAAGCCACAGTCACACGTCAGGAGATGCCCTTGTCCCCCACAGCCCTGTTCTCGTGCTCCTGAGACCCAGGCAACCAGACATGGCTCCTTATCAGAAGGAAAAATCAGGAGGCCCCTCCCCGGATAATTGAGAGCTGAACTGAGCCCTTGCCACCTATCTGGACAGGTGGCCTGAGCAGAGCTGACCACACAGGCCTTTGATGTTCCAGGCTACACCCCAGCCCTGGGAGAGCCAACCCCAGCAAGCCCAGGAGGCAGGAGACCTGAGAAGCCACCGTGCACCGCAAATGAAGGTGGCTTCACTCTGCGGGTTCCCCCACCCTTTGGAGAAGAACACGAAGGCTCAAGGAGGAAGGGACCCCTCCTTGGTCTCTGCCCGGGGCTCAGAACAGAGCACACGTGGCCGTCCTGCAACACCCACAGCAATAACAGCTCCCATTCATTGAGCGATTGATTACCACACACCAGGGCTGCCCGTATCATTAAGCCTTGCAACAGCCCCCTGAGAGGGTGGCACTACTCTTCCCTGTGTTTATGGGTGATGAAGCTGAACCGCAGAGACAGCAAGTCGCTCAACTAAGCGCACAGTGTCGGTGGAGGGCTGGGCTGGTGAAAAAGCCCTCGCTCAAGACCTCTCTGCTCTCTGCCTCCCCCAGAGGATGAGCAAAACATAGGAAGCGGGGCCCACTGGGTGAAGGGTGTCCAGCTCCTCTGGGGCAGGGCAGTGGGGTGGGGGGGCCGGATTCCACATACAGTGTCCAAGGCCCCACTGCCAGGGTTACTGCCAGAGAAACTAGCAGACAGCAAATTCCATTTCAGATTAACAACAAATAATGTTTCAGCATAGGTGTGGGTTTTTCCTCATCTTCTTTTTTGTTCCCCAATAACTCTGGCGACCCTGCCTCCACTAGACGACCCGGCCTCAGCACGCTGGCGGATGGAGGTGGACAGGCCAGGCCCTTCCCCTTAACCCTCACCGCCCTCAGTTCATGAGCTTCACCCCCAAGCACACAACACTCCTGTTGTCATGTCTGTGGGTTGTGGTCTTAAAAGTTTAAAATCTCCAGGGGCGCCCCGGTGGCTCAGTCGGTTAAGCGTCTGCCTTCAGCTCAGGTCACGGTCCCAGGGTCCTGGGATCGAGCCCTGCGTCAGGCTCCCTGCTCAGCGGGGAGTCTGCTTCTCCCTCTCCCTCTGCCTCTCCCCACCCCCCCACCCCGGCTTGTGCTCTCTCTCTCTCTCTCTCTCGCCCACTCTCTCTCAAAAAAAAAAATTAAAAAAATAAATAAATAAAATCTTAAAAAAAAAAAAAAGGTTTAAAATCTCCAGGGGATCTTAGGTAAAGAACCACCCCTCGTCTGGAGCCTGCTCTGTAAGAAGGAGAGCTAAGCACCAGCAGAGCAGGATTCACACCGAGGGTCAGCCTGCTCCAGAGCTAGTCGCCTCCGCCAGCCCCGTGGCCCGTTCAGAGGAGGGACAAACAGGAAGCCTGGGGTACGGTACCTATGGCAGCCTGTGGAGGAGGGTTGGAGGAAGCCATCAGACAAGGTCCAGCTCAAACCAGCACCGTCCCAGCCACTCGCCTGTTAAAAAAAAAAGAGAGAGAGAGACCGGAAATCTAATTAGATGCAGTTCAAGGGCAAAGTTTCAACAAGCAGAGAGGGGTCATTGGCTCAAGACCTGTGCTCTCCAGCCCACCAGCTCTTCCATTCCTTCTCCAGCTGCTCCCGGAGCACAGGAAGGAGCCAGAAAGGGCCCAGCCCCCACCCCACCATAAATCATTAACCCAGGAAACCAGCCACGGCAGCCCTGTAACCACATCTTCCCAGAAAACCCGTGCCACCACAGACCTTCGTTTTGCTCAGTACCCAGCGACCCTGGGCACCCTGGTGGGGCCCACTAGACAAGCCCCTTCCTCCCATCTGGCTTGCAGGGGAACTCCAGCCCCAGAGGCTGGATCATGCTCCGGCCTCTGTGTTCCAGAGGCTGGATCATGCCTGAACTATCATGGATGTGGCCGGATACTTCCTCGTCCTGGCCCCCCAGTGACCACAGCTCCCTGGAGTCCAGATCCTCGTACCAGCCCCGCCTGCAGCCCTGCTGAAGGCCATTCACTCCCTCTTTGTCTCTCCCTGTCCTGCCCCACAGGGTTGGCCAACTGGCGAGGGGCCACTGGCCTTAGCACCTGGGTGTATGGAAAGTAAAGGTATGCAGAGAGGCAGATGGCCAGAGATAGGGGCAGAATCCCAAAAGCTTGGAGCTGGGAGCAGTTTTCCCTGGCCTCAAAGTGGGGGCTGTACTGGGCTTCCCAGGGCCTGCGGCCAACCTTGCCAGAAGTCCAAGCGGTGAGGGAAAGGGCTCTCCCCACTCTGCCCTGACACCTCTGATCCTGAGCGAGGAGCTGTCCTTCTAGACCTTTCTGTGGAGGGGAGAATCAGTCCTGGAGGGAAAGCATGAGCCGTCCAGTCCAATCAGCCCCTGCCAGAAACTGGCTGATGCCTGCCTGTTCTCCTCTCCAATCCTAAAGCCTTTATTTTTCTTAACTAGCTTCCTAAATAAACATAGAATGCATGTAAATGGCAATTAATTAATAACAGCAAACATTGCCGTAGTGCCTCCTATGTCTCAGATGCTATTCGCAGCACTTTACAAATATTAACAGCTATTAATCAAAACTATGAGAAAATGAGGCCCAGAGTGGTTAAGTAAGTTGCCCAAGATGACACATCTACTAAGTGGCAGAGCCGGGGTTTGAACCCAGGCCGTGGGCCCCCGAGGCTGCACTCATTAGGTAACCATATGCCAGGGCCTCTCAAAACCCAGATGACATAAGGGTGCACAGTCCACCACAATCCCCCAAAGTGACTGCCTTCACTAGGTCCTTGGGAGTCCTGAGCGTTCCATGAGTGTGCCTGCCTATCCCTGTACCTACGTACGTGTCTTGTTTCACACGGCGGGGGCGCGGGGGGGGGGGAGCATCCCTGCACTTGCTGTGCTATACCTTCCTTTTTTTAAAGCTTAAGAACCTTGATTATTTCACACCAGGACATAGACATCAGCCTCCCTCTTCTGAATGGCCGCGTAGTGTGGGGATTTTTTTTTTTTTTTTGGATATATCATAACTGAGGTAATCTCTGCCACTGGACACTGAGGGGTTCCAGGGGTTTGGGTGTTATGAACAATGTAGCAACTAACGTCCTCCATACACAGGGCCTTAAGCAAATGGATACATGAGCCTGTAGGGCACGTGCCTAGAAGTGGACCTGCAATTCTCATTTCCGTTGAACGCAAATTACTTTCCAGTAAGTAGGTGGCTGTGCCTCATAGCCCCACACTCAAAACTATCAAGACTAAAATTTTATCTTCAGCAAAGGGCTCTGGGAAACAAACTAAAATGCCTGCAAATTCCCTTGCGAGTCGAAAGATCCGACAACAGCCATACAGCCCTCCTCATACAGGGTCCTTCTCCCTGGGGCTCATTCGGAACCACTTAGGAAGGAGCAGGGAGACTGAGGCCCATTTTACAGGAGGGAAAAGGGAGGTGCCTAGCCCCAGCCCGTATGCAAACTGCTGCTCAAATACAATTTTTTTTAAAGATTTTATTTATTTGATGGAGAGAGACACAGCGAGAGAGAGCACACAAGCGGAGGGGTGGGAGAGGGAGAAGCAGGCTCCCCTCTGAGCAGGGAGCCCGATGCGGGGCCCAATCCCAGGACCGTGGGATCATGAGCTGAGCGGAAGGCAGATGCCTAAGGAGTGAGGCACCCAGGTGCCCCTACAATTTTTTGATGATGCAGAAACCCAGGATCCTTTCCCTCCAGGCCAGAAAGCTATCCTTCCCTTTTTCCTCACCCTTTAGGGTTGATTCCTGCCCCCTGATCCAAGCCCAGGGCTTTCCCCGGGAAGGAAGAGAGACATCAGCATTTATGGAGCCGAAAGCTTTATCTGCCCTATGGTATTTACAGATGAGGAAACCAAGGCACAGAGAAGTAGGGATCTGCCTGAGGTCACAGAGGCAAGGGAACAGAGGACAACATGAGGATTGGCCCCAAACCTTCCTCTCCCTCCTCTAACCACACTGCCTCTCTGGACTTTGGGGCTGGAATCTGGGTGTGTCTGCTACAGGCTAACCTGGGGCAGTGAGGTCCCCAGGCAAGGACACAGACCCGCAAGCCCCATGCACACCCACAGTCCTGTGGCCACCATCTGTACACACGTGCCCCTAGCCTCAGAAGGATGCAGGTGAGGGAGCAGGGGGTCTCTCAGCGCAACCATCACCACCACTACAGACCCTCATGGCACAACAGTTAGGAAAAAGTTCAGGCTTTTTTTCAGTGTCCCCCCACTCAGGAGCTATGACACCTTGGATGAGTTACTTAGCCCCCATCTCTGGGCCTCCATTTACTCATCTGCAAAATGGGGACTAAAAAGTAGATACCTTGGGCACCTGGGTGGCTCAGTCAGTTAAACATCCAACTCTTGATTTTGATTTTGGCTCAGGTCATGATCTTAGGGTTGTAAGAAAGAGCCTCACGTCGGGCTCTGCACTGGACATGGAATCTGCTTAAATTCTCTCTCTCCCTCTCTCTCTGCCCCACCTCTCTCTCTCCCTAAAATAAAATAAAATAAATAAAAAGTAGCACCTCACCAGGTTATTAAGACAATTAAGAGTAAATACATGTAAAGCTCTTGGAAGGGTCCTCAGGTCACACTGGTATATGGCTCTCATTCACACTCATAACACAGGCTGTGGTGAGCACAGCTCCGCCTTGAGAGCTGGGGACTCAGGTTGGAGTCTCATCTCCACTAGCAGGTGAACTGAGCCTCATGAGTGTACAAAGGGGGTCTCACTACCTGCCCCATGGGGCTCCCAGCAGCATATCTGAGGCCAACCACACACCACCACCAGGAGGCTCAGTCAGCGCCAAGATGCCCACCCTTGAAGCTGTCAGCATCAAAATGGGAGACAGCAATCGGGACCCTGTGTCTGGATTCCATACCTCAGGAGTGGAAGCGCCCCTGCAGGAGGTTCACAGGCGGACTTCACTCTATGGGGATCTGGGGAAAGCACCTGGGGCAGCCGGATCCGCCTGCAGGCTGGGCTCTGTCTCTCCTCTGGGTGTGACCACAGGCCTGCCCTCAGCCTCTCACAGCCTTGGGCTTCCCCTCTGTAAAATGGGCATGACAGATCCTGTGCACACTATTTCCCAGGCTGCTATAAGCAAGGACCCAGGTCATAGGAATGAACGTGCTTAAGCAAACAGGTGGAGT